GGTGCGTAAGGTAATTATCTGTTCAGTGGCGAACTCGGACCTCAACGAGCTCCGCCAGGCGGCCTACGTCTCGTTGGCACTGGCCAGCATGGCGCGCGAGTGCCTGGACGAATGGCCGCTGTTTGCCCTGATCCAGGAAGGTTTTGCGAACGGCAACCAAGTGTCACCGATGACCTTCCTGAGGCGCAGTTTGGCCAGACTGGCCCCACATGGGCGAAGTGGCCCAGAATTTGCCCATGCAGGGTGATCTGGCGACTGAAGAGCCTCCCAGCGTTCACGCTGGCGAAGATAATCGCGCTTCGCGCGTCGCGGCCTGGGCCAGAGCGGCCGCGCTCCTCGGAGGTGGCCGCGCGAGGGCGCGAGGGCGCGAAATCGACGGCGCGTCGCGCGTCTCGAGGGCCCGAGGGCGCGAAACCACGCGACACAGATCCACGCGGTGTCGGGGACCGACGCTGGGGCCGTCGCGGCACGAGCCTGCCGCGCCCGTGCCCCGCAAGCGGAGCGCGCGCGATGCGCGATGCGCGCGAGAGCGCCTGCGGCCTCGCGGCAACCAGAGTGCTGGGGGGGCGCTCGCGCGCGTCGCGCGCTCTCGGCCGCGCGGCTCCCAGCCTGGGGTGCCTCCTCGACCCTCGATCCTTGAGCCCGCTCCTGCTCCTCCTCCTCCTCCTCTTCCCCCTCTTCCTCGATCCTCCTCCTCTTCCTCCTCCTCCTCCGCCTCCTCCTCCCCCCTTGATCCTCCATTCTGCTCCTGCTCCCCTCCTCCATCCCTTCCCGCCCCCTCGATCCTCCTCCTCCTCCTCCTCCTGCTCCTCCTCCTCCTCCTCCGCCCCCTCCTCCTTCCGCAAAGGCGGCGGGCCCTTGCGTGGCATTCGCACCGCACCCGCGCCGCTCGTGGCGCGCCCTGCCGTGGCAGACGTTTTTTTGTTTTAGTTTGTTTCGGTGCGTCGAAGAAGAGCAACAAACAGCGCATACATACGGTGGGTTCATGCGGCATTGACGTGCCAGCGACGCCGGCGAAGGCGTTCAAGGTTGAATTCGAGATGTTTCGCGTATCCCCACCAGCCAACCCAGAAACCATGCCCGGGCGACTTGAGGTGATCGGGAAAGTGCGGGAGCAAGGAGGGGGACGGCCGAAACGTGCGAAGGAGGGAGGAGGAGAAGGAGGAGGCTGGATGCATGGATGAGGAAGTGGGGAGGAGGAGGAGGAGGAGGAGGAGGAGGAGGAGGAGGAGGAGGAGGAGGAGGAGGAGGAGGAGGAGGAGGAGGAGGAGGAGGATGAGTAGGAGGAGGAAGAAGAGGAGGAGTTGGAGGAGGAAGAAAAGGAGTCGGAGGAGGAAGGAGAAGCAATAGGAGGAGGGCAAGCAAAAGGGCCAGAGGTCTCTTGGATGCCTCTCGGAGCCTCTTGGGGTGTCTCTTGGGCGCTTCTTGGTGGCCATTTGGGACGTCTTGGGAGTCTCGGGGGCCTCTTGGGGCCGCGTGGGGTCCTCTTGGGGGCCTCCTGGGGGCCTCCTGGGGGCCTCTTGGGGGCCTCTTGGGGCCATCTTGGGGCCGTCTTGGGACCTCTTGGAGCCTCCTGGGCACCTCGTGGGGCCATCTTGGAGGAGATCGATCAAAGAAGAGGGGAGCTCATTTTAGCGTCGCCCCCCCCCCCCAAAGGCCAAAATGGGGCCCAAACCCTAGTAAAACTGATGATTCTGGCTTCCTCGCCGAGGCCGTTTTGGACGCCCAGACCGCTCGCGACCAGCCCCGTCCAGGTCCAGGGGAGGGGGTATGGGGGAGGGGTCAAGCTACCCGCCCGCCCGCAAGCCGTCTAGCTCACTCTCACCCGCCCTCCCTACACACAAGTACCACCCGAGCCTGAGCATGTTCAGCGGTCGTCTTTGGATGGACATGGAAACCAAAGCCGACCCCAGGTGCGCGACGCTTGGGCGAGGTGCGCCACACGTGCCAGGGGCGCCACGCGCGCCAGGCACCCCTGGGGCCCGAGCGTGCCAGGCATGCCTGGTGCGCCAGATGCGCCACGTGCTCCGAGTGCGCCAGGTGTGGCGCACACTCCAGCCGCGCCAGGTGCGCCGCGTTCAGGGCACGTGCAGAGTGCGTCAGATGCGCGTGCGCACGTGACAGCACACAGAGGGAAACATGTCGGCCCCCGCCATCCTTGTCGAAAACCGATGCCCATCATTGTGTCTGGTGGGCCTGCGCACAGCAGGCCACGCGCCACCACCCCCGCCGTGCCTGTCAAAAACCACTTGACAATGTTCGCGGGATGGCCGCGCATGATCCAGATTTAACCGCGAGGTGCATGTTGTATGGTTTGTATGTCATGGATGGTAGCCCTGCGCACAGCAGGGAATATGCTGACACCCCCACTGTCCTTGTCAGTCAAAAACGATACAAAGTGTTCGCGGGCCTCACGAACATAACTCAAGACTTTGCCCCAAAGTGTACTTTGCATTGTTTTTTGACAGGGATGGTGGGGGGGGGCGCATCGGGTTGGCCGCGCATGCTCGAAATGTGGATGCAGAGTGCGCTTTTTTGGGGGTGGGGCAGGGATGGTGGGGGGCGGGTCGGCCTGGGGTCGGCATGTTGTCGGCATGGTGTCCTGGGTGAGCGGGTGTACCTATACGACCACCCTTCGGGTGATAAGGAGGTTCGGGGGGGGGAGGAACCAACGTCTCACTCGATCGGTCTCACTATCGATCTCACTATCGATCTCAGTATCGGCCTCGCTCGATCGATCTCCCTCGATCGATCTCACAATCGATCTCACAATCGATCTCACTCGATCTCACTCGATCTATCTCACACTCGATCTCACTCGATCATCATCATCATCATCATCATCATCATCATCATCGTCCTCCTCATCATCAGCATCATCATCATCAGCATCACCATCATCATCATCATCAGCATCAACATCAGCATCAGCATCATCAGCAGCATCATCATCATCAGCATCACCATCATCATCATCATCATCATCATCATCATCATCATCATCATCATCATCATCATCATCATCATCATCATCATCATCATCATCATCATCATCATCAATCATCATCATCATCATCATCATCATCATCATCGCGGGACACCGCGGGGCACCGCGGGACACCGTGGGACACCACAAGACACCGGCGGGACACCGCGGGCCACCGGCCGCCCGGAAGGGAGACATTTGGTCCGGCCGCGCCTCAGCCACACGGGACACCAGCGGGACACCGGCGGGACACCTCGGGCCACCGGCCGCCCGGAAGGGAGACATTTGGTCCGGCCGCGCCTCAGCCACAGGAGACTTTCTTCTCGCCCGCCTACGCAGCTTCGCCTCGCCCGCACGCACGGCACGCACGAACACGAAACCGAAATTGATTTCCCGGTAGGGGTGCTCTCCGTTCCACTTCGATCTCACCCCCTCACCTCCGATACTAATAAGGAACAGTGATAAACCCCTCCCCGAAGGGGAAGAAGGGGGGTGGAAGAGGAACCTCCCTAAGCCACCCACGCCCAGAGGGTTTGTGGGATTCTGCGACGCAGAAGCACTGATGGACACTGTAACGCCACATGGCCCGACTGAGTTCAACCTTGAACGATCGGGGCCGCGATCGATTCAAGGTTGAAGGATCGACGCGGTGTCAAAAACCTTTTCGCGCGCCGATTCCGCACGAATCTACTGTAAGCATTTGGAGGCCCGCGTGGAGTTCTTGGATCGGCGCTGGACCCCTGGGGTCCAGCGCCGATCCGAGAAACTCGCGCGGACCTTTCGGAATTGACGTCTATGCATTTTGCTCTTCTCCGTCTGAGTGTAGGCTGTACGTTCAGTGCAGCGATTGCTGGCAAGGTCCCAGCCTCTCCTTCGCCGTCGCCTGTATTGCGAAGGCCTGACGGCCGGTGCCGCCGACCCTGAAGAGGACCACGACGTCGGCGACGAAGTGGGCGGAGACGGAGGCCGTGGAAGATGATGAGGAGGAGGAGGCGAGGAGGAGGAGGAGGAGGAGGAGGAGGAGGAGGAGGAGGAGGAGGAGGAGGAGGAGGAGGAGGAGGAGGAGGCAGGGAGGAGGGAGAGGGAGGAGGGAGGAGGGAGGAGGAGGAGGGAGGGAGGAGGGAGGAGGGAGGAGGGAGGAGGGAGGAGGGAGGAGGGGGAGGGAGGAGGGAGGAGGGAGAGGGAGGAGGGAGGAGGGAGGAGGGAGGAGGGAGGAGGGAGGAGGAGGAGGGAGGAGAGGAGGAGGGGGAGGAGGGAGGGGAGAGGGAGGAGGGAGGAGGGAGGAGGGAGGAGGAGGAGGGGAGGAGGGAGGAGGGAGGAGGGAGGAGGGAGGAGGGGGAGGGGAGGGAGGAGGGAGGAGGAGGAGGGAGGAGGGAGGAGGGAGGAGGGAGAGGAGGAGGGAGGAGGGAGGAGGGAGTTGGAGGGGAGGGGGAGGAGGGAGGAGTTTTTTTTTTTTTTTTTTTTTTTGTTTTTTTTTTTTTTTTTTTTTTTTTTTTTTTTTTCTGTGGGCCACTGCATGACAGGCTGCACAAGGCGACTGGCAAGCAGGCTCGTGATACCTCAGATGAAAATGACAAAAAGGATCGTGATGAAAAAGTGCACGGAATAACCGGACAAGCTTGTTGAACTCATCGGCGAAGAAAGCCCCTCTCCACCAAGCGCTCGATCATGTGAGGCTCGAGGAAAGAGAAGTCCTCGACACGACGACTCGGAAGATCCTGGTCGGAAAACTCCTCCAGGGCACCATCGCCATTCCCATCCCCTTGATGTGTGCCAGTTGGCTCAGGCATAGGAGCTGCATCCACACCTACTCCAACAGGCTGTAGCATAGCGGAGGCCACATTCGAGACCTCCTCTGGATCCTTCTGCTTGTTCTTCCTCTTGTTATTGTTGCGGCGATTGCGCCTGTGTACCTTCTTTTCGCCGCCATCCGCATCCTCAGCAACCCCAGCGCGGCAGACTGGATGATCCAAATCCTCGTCGTCCGTGCCAATATAGAAGGCCTCCTGCGGCTTCAGCTCCTGCGCGGAGGAGGTGTCGGCAGCCGAGGCGGCGGCGGCGGCGGTGGCATCATCACCACCTTGATCCTCGTCGGCACCGGCGGCGGCGGCACACGCGGCTTCACAGCCTCCGCCAAAACCTTCGAGTAGGGGTCCCTGGAGGTCACGCTCGGCGTCACGAACATTCCGGGAGGCGGTGGCGCAGGCGGCCTCTCGGCCACCACAGTCGTCAAGCTTCCCTTCATCCCGGACGCGCGCTTGCGCCTCTTCCTGACGGGCTTCCCCTTCTGCTGGTACTTCTGCTTCTTCTTGTCCCGATGCCGGCCCTTCGCGATGAGTTTCTTCCCGCCGTATTTCTTGCACTGCGGCTTCTGCTGCTTGATCTTCTTGGAGCGTACGTTCGATGCGGGCCATGGCGGCACTGGCGGCATAGGCTGAGGCGGAGCCAACGCCTCCGTACCACTGGCCCGGCGCAGCCCACGGAGAAGTGAAGGAGGGCGTACAATGCGCCGAAACTGACCTTGCACCTTCAAGAGAATAGACTCCGAGCCCCGTACACATAGCGGCTGCGCTCCCGGCATCGACAATAATGATGTCATGATCTCCACGAAGATTGTTGACTTGCTCGAACAAAGAAGTCGAGGCCAAGTGCTGCGGAATGAAAAATCGCATGGACCAGGTAGCCAGCTCTCCCGGGCGTTGAGCAGCAACTCCCTCAGGCTGTAGACGATGACAGCCAACGAAGATGCCGCCCCTCAAGTACAGCACAGATGCCTGGTGCAGCCCCCGGGCACTCAGCTAGAGGACATGGCGCGCGGCAACAGCGCGGGGCGCGGGCCCCACGGGCGGCGGCCAGCTCAAGCCAAGTGGGTACTTGAGAGGAGGGAGGAGAGGAGGAGGGAGGAGGGAGGAGGGAGGAGGGAGGAGGAGGGAGGAGGGAGGAGGGAGGAGGGGGAAGGAGGGAGGAGGAGGAGGGAGGAGGAGGAGGAGGAGGAGGAGGAGGAGGAGGAGGAGGAGGAGGAGAGGAGAGAGGAGGAGGAGGGGAGGGAGGGAGGGAGGGAGGGAGGGAGGGAGGGAGGGAGGAGGGAGGGAGGGAGGGAGGGAGGGGAGGGAGGGAGGGAGGAGGGGAGGGGAAGGGAGGGGAGGGAGGGGAGGGGATGGAGGGGAGGGAGGGGAGGGAGGGGAGGGAGGGGAGGGGGAGGGAGGGGAGGGGGGAGGAGGGGAGGGAGGGAGGGAGGGGAGGAGGAGGGAGGGGGAGGGAGGGAGGGAGGGAGGGAGGGAGGGAGGGAGGGAGGGAGGGAGGAGGAGGAGGAGAGGAGGAGGAGGAGGAGGTCCCAGGCTCTCCTTCGCCGTCGCCTGTGTTTGTCCTCGCAAGGCCGGACCCCGTGGATCGCTGTCGGCCCCGCCGTTGCTGCTCCGCTGCTCCCCTCGCCGTGGGGCGGGCGGGGTGGGCGGGGGGCGCGGGCCGAGCGGGTGTGGTCCCGGCAGCCGTCGACTAGACGTAAGAGTGACCTTTCGCCGGAGCGACCTTTTGGGCGGGCACAGATGGGTCCCCCGATCGCCGAACGCGCTGCGATATCAGCGGCCTGCGCGCTTGGGTTTGGCTCCCCCGCGCCCCCCTAATGCCGCGCACCAAAGGCCACTCTTACCCCTGGTCACTCTTGCGTATAGCCGACCTGCGCCGGCGTGGTCTCGCAGGGGTGGCGCTGGTTCACCTGGTTCGGGTGCAGCTCCTGGGAGGTCAAGTTCTGGTGTTGCCCTGGTCCGGAATCCGGCTGAATCCGCTTCATCCGGCTTACGTAATCCCGCTTCATCCGGCTTAATCCTGCTTAGTCCGAGGCCCATTCCGGCGTAACAGCTCCCAAATGGGGCTTAATCCCCCTTAATCTTTCCGACGAAAACCTCCCAGTGCCTCTTAAACCAGTGACCAGCGCGTGCAAGTATTCTGGGCCTCCAAGAAGGGGTCGGAGTAGATGGGGTCGTACGATCGCGCCGCATCGTAGATGCATCGGCGATGCGGTTTTCGATGAAGAGTTGATGTTCCCCACGCCGACGTCGCCCATGCATCGCCGACGTCGCCGATGCATCGCCGATGCATTGCCGATACATCGCCGATGCATTTGCGATGCTGATTGATCCTTCGACCAGGTCTCGAGCTGACCTGTGTTTGGGCGCTTTCGTGAACCTTTTTCGTTTTGATTTCGTTTTGCAGCAAAGGCGGAACGAAGACAGAACGAGGAACACGGGAAGCGAAACGAAAACGAAAAACGTTGTTGAGCTCGAGCCCTGTCTTCGACCCCATCTGCTCCTGCCCCACCTGGGAGGCCTCTAGTTATCCTTTACTCGGCAGGAGGCCGTGATCAGCTGGCCGCCCAGCAGGTGCGGCAGAGCACCTTGCGAGCATGTTTTGGTCCCTATACTCTCGCTCGCGTCTCGCCTCCCTCTTTGCTCATCCCGCTGCTTCCCCCTCGGCGGCTTCTGCTGCCGCTCATCCCCCCTCCCGCTCCTACTCGTCCCGCTGCTTCCCGGCTGCTCCTGCTCAGATGTCTCGCCGCCCTCGTGCTCATCCCGCTGCTTCCCCCTCGGCAGTTTCTGCTGCTGCTCTGCTCCCAATGATGCGGATATTGAGGGGGGAGGGACAGGGGTGGGGGCGTCAGGGAGGAGGAGACCGGCCAGAACAGTTGCGGAGGAAGAGACGGAGGAGGAGGATGAGGAGGACGAGGAGGAGAAGGAGGATGAGGGGAGGAGGAGTGGCAGGAAGAGGGGACGGAGCACTCGGGGTATGAGGAGAGGGTAATTGTGATTATGATATCTTGTTGGCGATTCTGATGAATGCTGCTCTGATGGCGATGATGATGAGGATGATGATGTTGATGACGACGATGATGATGATGGTGATGCTGCTGATTCTGATGATGATGACGATGACGATGACCATGATGCTGGTGATGATGCTGATGCTGTTGATGATGATGATGATGACGATGCTGATGCTGATGGTGATGATGCTGCTGATGATGATGATGATGATACTGATGATGACGATGACGACAATGCTGATGATGATAAGGATGATGATGATCACGATGATGATGATGCTGCTGATGATTATGCTGATGATGGTGATGCTGATGGTGATGCTGATGGCGACGACGACGATGATGATGGTGATGATGGTGTTGTAGATGATGATTCTGATGATGGTTATAATGATTATGTTGATAGCAAGGCGGACGATTATGATGATGCTGCTGGTGCTGATGATGATGAGGATGATTCTAATGATTATGACGATGATGACGATGTTGATGCTGCTGCTGATGATGCTGCTGCTGCTGATGGTGATGATGATGATGATGATGATGATGATGATGATGAGGATGCTGATGATGATGGTTGTGGTGGTGGTGATGATGATGATGATGGTGGTGGTGTTGAGTGTGGTCGTGGTAGTGTCGATGATGATGCTGCTGCTGATGATGATGCTGATGATGATGATGCTGCTGATGATGATGCTGCTGCTGATGATGATGATGCTGATGATGGTGCGGTCAAGTGATGGCGAAACGCTGTGGCCCCAGCCGACACCAGTCGCCCAGGGCCGCCCTGCGGCGAGCGCAGCCTGGGGCCACCCCGCAGCTTCTGCTGTTGCTCTGCTGCCCATGATGAGCAGATTGAGGAGAAAGATGAGAAGACAGACGAGGAGGAGGATGAGCAGGAGGAGGATGAGGGGGAGGGGGAGGAGGAGAAGGAGGATGAGGGGGGGAGCAGTGGCAGGAAGAGGAGACGGAGGACTCGGGGTATGAGGAGAGGGTGATGGTGATTACGCTATGTTATGGGCGATTCTGATGAATTCTGCTCTGATGGCGATGATGAGCATGATGATATTAATGATGGCGACGCTGATGCTGGCGATGATGATCATACTGACGCAGACGAGCAGGAGGAGGAGGAGGAAGATGATGATGATGATGATGATGATGATGATGATGATGCTGATCATGATGATCATGATGATGATCATGATGACGACGATGGTGGTGATGATGCTGCTGATGATGCTGATGACGATGATGATGAAGCGGTAAATGATTATGATGATGCTGGTAGTGCTGATGATGCTGCTGATGCTGATGATGATGAAGACGACGATTATGATGCTGATAATGATGATGACGATGATGATGATGATGATGATGATGATGATGATGGTGCTGACGATGATGATGCTGCTGCTGATGGCGACGACGACGATGATGATTGTGATGATTGTGGTGCTGATGCTGATGATGATGCTGATCATGATTATGATGATGATGATGATGATGATGATGATGATGATGATGATGATGATGATGATGATGATGAAGCTGCTGCTGCTGATGATGATGATGATGATGAGGATGATGATAATGATGATGCTACTGCTGCTGATAATGATGATGATGATGGTGGTGGTGGTGATGATGGTTGTGGTGATGATAATGATGATGCTGACGACGATGGTGATGATGCTGATGCTGATGCTGATGCTGCTGTTTATGATGATGCTGATGATGATGCTGATGCTGATGATGATTATGATGAGTATGATGGCGATTGTGATGACGCTGCTGCTGCTGATGCTGCTGATGATGATGATGATGGTGATGATTATGATGGTGATTGTGATCGTGATTATGATGATGCCGAGGACGACGATGGCGATTGTCTTCTGCTTCGTTCCCTATCCCTCTCCACTTTGGCACGGTGGCGGATCTCCAGCCATCCCAGGTGCTGGAGCAGACGGGGTCGGAGGATCGCGGCGCGACCTGACGCGTGAGAGTTGCATCGGCGATGCGGTGCGATCCTCCGACCCTATCTGCTCCGGCCCCACCATTTAGGGAAGGCCTCCAGTATCCGTACCTTTTGCCACCCCTCCTCCCTTTGAGTGAACCCCCTACCTATCCTCTCCTTTGGCAAGTACCCTGGCATCGCTCGGACGTGTGCATTTTTTCTCGGCGAGACCCATTGAGGACGACCCTGGACCATCGAGCAAAAAAAACACGCACGAAACCGAAAAATGCACGGGAAATGGACGTCCGAGCGATGGCAAGAGTACGCGCTGACTCTTTGACGACAGTGGAGGAGGGTAAGGCCCTCATCAGGGTCCTTCACTCTTCGTTGCCACCTTTACCGACGGATGCTCTGGAGGAAGTCGGCCCTTCGGTCAGCCCCTCCCAGCATCATCTCCCCGGTTGAGCCGCCTCCCTGGTCGGTGCCCGTGCCGAGCGGTCAGCACTGGGCGGGCGGGCGCACCTGGGCACGGCCAGCTCACGCAGGCGCCCCGGCCGCATCGGGCAGCTCAGATCGGCCACGCGCAGAGGGGGGGTCGGCGGAGGGGGGAGGGGGGGAATGCTTCCTAGCAGGAGGCTGGCTGCCTCTCAGGAGGCGCGGGCCGTGTCTATAGATGTAAGGCCGGCGTCATCAGAGAAGCGGCCTCCCAAGAAGCCTCCCCCCTCTCCCCTTACCCCCTTCTGCGCGCCGCCAAGGTCTCTTCGGGGCGTCGTGGTGTCATCCGGGGGCCCCGTCGGGCCATCTCGGGCAGTCCTGGAGGCAT